AAAACAAATTGACGCAGCCACTCCGGAAGGAAAGGGAAATAAATAAGGTATCATGACGATCGTAACCAAAAAGAGACACGAGGTATTCCAAATCGGAAGAAAAGAAAAAGACAATTGAAATTGCGAGTAAAGGGGAATATTTCCGGATAGTATGTAATAGAATAGAGAAGAAGAAGGGACAGGGAATTTGGAGAATAGAGAGAAAGGAATGAAGAAAGGGAGGTATCAGGAGTCAAGGATAAGCACTTCACGGCCGTAATCGCAATTTCGTCGTTATCGTGGTGGTTGTAATCAACATCATCAACCATGAACGCTTACGCTACCTGTACTGGCAGCAGGTCCCATGGTGGTCCTCCTCCCTGTCACGGCCTTCCGTTTGGCAATGGCTCCCTTGAAGTCGATCAGGTTGTAGTCTTCGGGCATGTGCTCGCCACTGTAGATGCAGAGGACGCGCATTCCTGGCTTGTAAGCCAAACCGCTGAGTAGCTTGGGTGTGATCAGGAAGTACTGGCCGCCGCCGCCGGTTTCAGACGGGGCGCAGGCTATATCGACCAGACGGCCATGGACCATGCGCTCGTTTCGGGGATCCATACCCTGGTTGATTTCGTCGACCACGCGGAAGGGGGATGCTGAGAGAGATTGGAGGGCCATGAGGTAGAAGATGGTGCTGACGGCGCGTTCACCACCGGACTGACGGTGCGAGTCCAGCAGGGAAAGGTTTTCGTGTTCGCGGAATTTGACGTGGATTTGAATTGACCATTGGTCGAAGTCGCTGTCACCTGGTTCGCCGTTCGGACCAGCCTCTTCGGCCTTGTCCAGGGTGACTTGGCCGGCGCAGCCGATGCGGGCGAACGAGTCGGAGAAAGCGTCACTGATGCTTTTGATGATTGAGTCAAGCTTGGGTTCCCAGCGGCCGCGGATTTCATTGATGGCGTGGTTGTAGTCGTCCAGCTTTTTCTGGAAGTCGGCGAGTTTGTCACGCAGCTTGTCGATTTGACGTCCACGTTCTTCGAATTCTTTGATCACGTTACTGTTTCCGCCGTGGGTGAGTTCGAGACGAGCCTTTTCGGAGTCAATGTCAGCCTCGAACTGCTCCATTGTCATATCTTTAATCGTGTGTAATAGTTCGGCTAGGTCGGGCTGTTGTTGGGAAATATTGGCGACCTTCACGGCGTCGTCTTGGAGCTTCTTGACCGTTTTGCCTATGTCTTTAATTTCCTGATTCGCCTCTTTCAATTCATTGTGCTTGGCTTCCAGCGTCTGCCGGTGTTCGACGTTCCGAGCTTTCAAGACTTCTAAGTCTGAGACACCTTCGATGTGCCGCACTTTCAGTTTGATGACTTCTTCATGAAGTTTTTGGAAGTTTTCAACGGCGTTCTATTTTCTATTAGTAACAGGACCCTGGTATCTATGCCCTGTGAACTTACAGCATATTCAATGACGGCCTCTGCCTTGCGGAGGGATGCCTGATCTTGCTCAGTACGGAGGTTGGCGACTCGCGTTCTCATCTGCTCGAACATTTTCTGGTTTTCCTTCTGCCTCGCTTCTTGCTGGCCTGTTGGTGTGTTAGAGTACCCAATCTGTGAAGGGTGCGACGTGTCACCTACGTATTCTCTCCGGAATAGCCCTGAATTGTGTTAGAGCTGTCTGCTTTTCTCCCTTCTCCCGCTCAAGCTCGCTCTGCAAGATCTCACGTTAGCACAGAAAAATTTCATGACAGCATAAGCTCAACATACCTGCTCTTGTTTGAGTTCAGTGTGCTTATGACCAAGTTGTTCAAGCCTGGCCTTTTCACTATTTATCTGCTCTTGCACCTCCTGCACTTCGCCTTTCAGTGTACGGATCTTCTGCGTGGCTCTTTGTCTCTCTGATGCATCCACTGGTTGTGATGTCCAGAATTTAGCTGGCCTCAGAGGCCTAAGCCGGGAGGAAATTGCGTCGTATTCCCTTCGACGCATAACCGTATAGTTCAGCCTTCCAGAAACCCAGGAGATTAAGCGACCCGTTTTCAAGCGTTCGAAATCATTGTCTGCCATGTCTGCATGACTGATGGGTATCTGGTGGAGGCCCTTTTCGCTACAGAGCATAGCCAGAACTGGATCTGGTCCACTGAGACAATCCTTTGCCCAGCACTCAAATCCGAATTCGCGGAATTCGTCAGCCTCGGCTGCAGAAGGCTGAAGTCTATCTAGTGGTGTGGAACATGTTCGAATACTGATATCGGTCAACTTCTGTTCGCCGCAGAGTATCCTCTGCAAGGTCCTGAAGTCATTCCGGGTTTGCGTAGTGAAGGCCATGAAGTCCGTGCGCTGCAAGAAGGACTCAACAGCGTCGGCGTACTTTGGGTCTTTGATTGAGCATGTAACCACTGGAGGCCCGAAAACCTCCTTTTCAAACTTGTCTTGGTTTTGTTGGATCCAATGATAGGCGCGAACGGAATCGGCAGAGAGTCGTCCAAGCTTGTTCTCTTGCTGTCCAGCCTGGGATTCCAAGTTTTGTAACTGACATTCCGCCTGCTTGATCTGATCGGCTTTCACATTCAAGCTTTCGAAAAGTGGTCGTCGGTCGCTTTTGATCTGGGCCGCCTTCTCCTCAATTTCCCTGATTTCTCGTCGTTTTTCTCTCTGTTTCATGGATTAGCAGAAATAGCCAACATCATCCTGCAAAAACTTACTATTTGCTCGTTATACCACTCCACATCGAAGTCGTCAGGTTTCTCATTCAACTGACGTGTGAGCTTGTTTATCATTTGCTGAATCTTAGTTGCTTCTTGCCTATAGCCTTGCCCGCCCTCTTTTTCGGCGTTGATCTCATCGTCAAATCCCTTTATCTCCCGCTCATGTTGTTCAATTGTTCGGCCAGCGTCGGAAGCAGCACGCTCGGCTTCCTCTAGACGACGCGTTTTATACTTGATAACCTCGTCCGTTTCGAGACAGTACTGTTGCTTCGCATTGACGGATCTTAAGGCAGGCTCGAGATCCTCTTTGAGTCGCGCTAGTTCGCGTTCGATTCTTTTTACTTCCCTTCTCATATTATTATACCTCTCGTGTCCCTGTTTATACTGCAGAACAGGACGGGCCATCTCCAACATCTCGATTTTTCTCTTAATCTGAGCCCTTTGGCGCATCCGCTCAACGTCGGCTCTTTGCATTTCTTGCCGATCCTCAAGGTTGGTCAAAGTGTCACGGTCGCCTTGGTTGTCCGCTTGCAGCTTCTTTTGCTCCGCTCTCAGACGCTTCAGGTTCTCATGCCATTCGATCATTTCCTCGCCAGCGGCGGCTCTTTGGGTTGAATTGAGCAACTCTATTGGTGTCAGAGCTGCGAATTCGGCGACTTTATCCTGGGGAAGGAATTGGCAGAGGTTATCAATCTGGATAGAGAATGATTGTGTTAGCTTCAGCACCTGGGAGCGGGAGGCCTGTTTTCCGTTGATCGTGAACGTGCTTTTGTTGCCGTCGCGCTTGATGGTTCTGGAAACGACAGGATTGTGACGAGAACCCGGCTTTCCAGCCAGCTCGATCTCAATCGTAGCTTCTCTACAACCATGCTTGACAAACTCTCCCGTGTCTTTTGCACGTCCGAGATGCTAGAAGACCTGTCAGGACACGTGCCATACTGTATACGAAAGGTTACTGTACCTGTGGTCCCCATCCTAAACCAAGACATATCGCGCAAACAAGGGTACTCTTTCCGGTACCATTCGGACCGATAACCATATTCAGCTTTGGTCCAGGGAAGAATTCCGCAGACGTATAGGTTACGAAGTCCGTCACTCTAATACGCACAATAGCACCTGGCTTATACGCTTCCTGCGGCCCTCCATTAAGCAGACCACTCTGCGATAAAGTCGATTCCGTCCCTGCAGTCTGAGTGCTGGGGTGCTTGCTAGACCCGGACCCTGCTGCATTTGACGCGGCGTACTCATCGGTGTCACGGTCAGCGCTCTCTGATTCTGCAGTATCGCTATCTTGATCATCGTCAGTATCCTCCCGAGCACTCCTCTTCTGGGCGGTTCCATTCTGCGAAGCATTCCGGCTTGTTGCTGATTTCGGCGTTGCGGCTTTAGCGCTGCTCTTTTTTGAAAGCTCAGAAATCGACTTCGAAGGACGGTTCACTTCGGTGTCATCTTCGGCGTTTTCAGACTCTTCAGAAGCTTCATCGTTCCCTTCTTGTAGTACATCGCCCAGAGTTTCTACCTCCTCTGCAGCTCCCGCTTGGGCCTCGCTATCGTCCAAGGCGCCGTCCTTCGCGGACTCGTAGTTGCCATCGGCCGTCTCTTCGGATGCTTCCCTTTCCTCGTCCTGGCTGGTCGTAGAACCCTCCTGATCGCCCAAGTTCTCATTGCCCGACCCGTCCTCCACTTCCTCCTGTAGCTCCTCATCCCGGATGTCCTGGCCGTCGTCTGAGTCCTCCCCCAGTTCCTCTGACCCCCGGCCCCCAAAATCCTGTCCCTCCCTGACCTCTACCATCTCGTCCTCCACATCAGGCTCCTCAGTACTCAATCGTAGCCGTTTACTATCGCCCGAGCGATGCGACGACGTGCGCGAACCCCTCATCGGCCCAGAGGAAGCTCTCTCACTAACACTACCCACATCGTCACCATCGCCGTCATCAGACCGGCGTCGTCGGCGAGGGATCGACCCCCGAGAAGACATATTGAATAGATCGAGTCGCGCAACAACGCATACACTTTAGTTCACCAGCGCATCGACATTGGTGGTGGACGATACTCCGGAAAGGATGAACGAGGCCTGGTAGAAGGCAATGCAAATGAGCGGGGTCCTGAATGGAACCCCAGTTAGTGAATAGATAAAGAACAACCCGAAGGGTAGTATAAAGGATATCAAATCCAAAAAGTAAACGCGGCTCACGCGTGATTTGACGCGATGAGCGGGACAAAGGGAAATACACTCAATCTAACCTCTTTTGGGCTAGGCGGGGATGGGTGGCAGTTTCAAGTGGTCCGCCGCGGAGCTTCGGAGTTGCTTGCAACTTTCTTTGTTGCTATTTCGATCTCGAGAAAGGCCAAGTCTTGGGCAGTTGTTCTTTCTGGTCTCCTTTTCTCTTTTTGACGTTACCATTCATGGCTTCGAATCAAAAGGTTCGCCGCATTGTCCTTACGGGCGCTGTCACGGTCATTACGATTGCTGGTTCGCTTTATGGCGCTGGCATTAAGACCGGGCAACAGGTTACTCAGGTACTTTTCTCTAATCATTACATTCAGCGGTTATTGGCTATTACGTCTGGTCCATATTGGGGTATTACAAGTGCTAAAATTGTGGTTATGGTATATAGCAAGCCCAAAAAGCCCAAGAAGTTACCATTGACGACCGAATCGACGGCCTCCGAAGTATGCGACAGAATCTGGTATCGAAGAAGGAGCTCGTCGAGAAGCAGCTCCGTGACTTGGACGTGAAGATCGAGGAAAGAAAGCTGAAGAATATGGATGGACCGAAGAGGGAGCCACCGAATTATAAGTAATAAGGGGAATTCTTCGAGAAATTCAGGAGTACAGCAAGCAGGTAGGTGGTTCGTGAAGCCGGGCTGTCAGGATGTCGTTCTCGATGCTTATTGTGGTGTTGGTAGAGGACGCCAATCTACACAGCCTCCTTGTCAGAAAGCCGCTTTGAGCCTCTGATTCCTCTGCGCTGCTTGGCTCTGCTATGTCGTGGCGGTAATGCAGCCTGCTAGCACTCCTTTGCCAAGGGACAGAGTCCGCTCTTCCAAGGCTACATACTCGCGTCCGAAGGGCAATTAAGTGTGGGATCTTCGCTTCCTCGTGTCCCGCTGCGCTTTGCGACGGTAGACGATGAACTTCTAGCAGACCTGTGCAGAAGCGGTTGGGAGAAGAGATCATAGTGCTCACAACCGTCGCCCATCTCCTACATGGCGCGAATAGTTTGTGGTATGTTTGGTCGTTTGCACACCAAATACTGGACGACCCTAAAGTGGCTCAATGGCCTCACTGTGGTTTTGTACACGTCAAAACATCTTTCTACCGTCTACGAAGTAACACATCCAGTACTATGAGTACTAAACTTGGGTCACCAATGCCACCAACGGTACACCGGCACGACCAGTCAGGTGCAGGTGAATAGAGCCGAAAGAAATCTATGAATTTATATGCTATCTCATCCCAAATGCCAGTAAATCGCGCTATATCCCAATATATACACCAATAGAAAAAACCGCCAAGCCAGATGAGCAAATATTCAAGCGAAAGTATCAACTGTCCAAGATACCTCGTGCAAGAGCAGCGAGACTGGCTTCGTATCTCGCCGGATTATGGTCACTGAACATGCCCGAGCCGAACTTTAGTTCTCCGAATAATGCTTCAGTATCTCGAATGAACTTTAGTTGCACTCTTGTTGCGGGCCGGCCTAGCAATGGATAGCCATCCTTGTCCATGTCGGCAGTAAAAGCATTCCGCTGGAGGACACGCATTGTCTCAACCACGAATACCTCTCCCGGCGGCATCAGCTTTGGAGCACGCATTTCGTCTCTGAGCATCTTCAGCGTATCCCAGGCCCAAGCATCTTCCCCAACGTCATTCCCGGCGTGTGTAAGGATAGGCGGTTCATTGACGTAGAATTTGTTGACTATACTCTGCCTCAGACCTTCCCAGACGCGGAACCGTACGTGAGACTTAGCATTAGAGACATCGCTCTTGAATGCTAGTGACGCCGTATGCATATCATGCAAAATGCCTAGTGAGAGGCTAGGCACCACATCTTGTCCGTTGACAACTGTCGTTATCAGGCCGCGCGTCGCACGGCGCAAGAAGGGGGACATAGTCGAGGGAGGGCCGTAGGCATAGACATGTATCGGCCTTCCAGGAGGAAGGGAAAGGGCAGCGCTGCTGTCACCCTCATTGCCTCCAGTCAGACGTGGATTTCCTTTCGCAGACTGGTAGGAAGTAGTAGTGAACGATGTCCCAGAACTGTCGTTATTTGGCTCTGCGATCATTGTTGCTAGGAGTGCAGCGACGCCCCCTCCCAGTGAGTGACCGCAGAACACCACACCATAATCAGGAAATTCCTCCAACGCCGCCCGAATCGTAATCATAACTCGACTGCTTCCACCCATTAATAGCCGTTTTGCAGAGGCATGCATGCCCTTGTGAACTTTCCAACTTCTACCTTGCCATTTGAGATCATCGTAATCACACGTCATGTCTGTAAGGATGTCTTCAAAGCCCCATGTCCCTCTCAGGGTAAGAACTATCGCCTTAGACTCATGGTCCACAAAAAGGTAATGGACTAGAGGAAAGCCACTCTCTGTCTCTCCAGCAGCATTAGTACCACCTGCAGGGTCCACATATGATGATAACAAGATTGTAGAAGCTGGTAGGCCTGCATGGTCCGAGAACTCGCTATGCTCAGGACTGTATGATTCTTGGTAAGGAAGAACCTGCGTCGTCCGTGGGATACCCATAACTTTGAGTGCGCTCGAACCATAAGAAGCTGAAGAGAAGCGACAGAAACGTCTGATATTGTGCACAAAGTGTTTTTCCGGAAAGATGCCCGGGACGGTACCGTCCCGATTGAGCGCACGAATAGTTTCTATGTCGTCGTATGCACTTTTCCGCGCACGGTGAGCCAGTATGAGGGATGTTTCGGAGCCGGCGGTTGCTAACGAATAGAGACTCGGGGAAAATGAGCCTGACTGCCGGTAGAATACAGGTGATCCCGGCCGAGAATCGTCGTTCAGGGATATCGCCACATCACTTTCTGACCTAGTCAAGGACATAGAGCTGCTGCTACGTACGTGAGCCCTCCTTGGAGTTGGCGTTCCCGGTCGTAGGTCCATTGATTGCCGAGTATAAGCATCCGTCTGTGCCATAAATGACTCATTATTCTTCTCATGTATCATATAGTTGTCTGTTCTGGAATTTCTTCCGTGCTTAGTATCGTGGGATGGGCATGACGTAGGAGTCGGGGCGGATTTCACTCGATGTCCTTGCAATGGTATCCTCGGTAAGCCTCTATTTGCCACGGATGCTGAAGACCCGCGGTTGTGTGGTACCGGCGAGTTGTCGAGCTTTTTCGTGGAATTGGTATGTTTTGGTAATTTTCCGCGCTGGGGTAGGTTCTCTGACGAAGAAGGCGTCTTTGAGAACTTACCAGCATCTTTCTTGTTCGATGGTATAGGCTTCGTCTTCGGCGTGAGCTTCGACAGTGAAGCTTTCTCATGAGAGTCTCTCGACGATTTATTTGCTTGCTTCTTCGGGGAGATGAGTTGCGGTTTTCTTGCACTGGGCTCAACACCCACGTGTCTGTCAACGCAAAGCATGCCATGTAATGAGTTGTCGGCGTTGAGCATCTCATCCCTGGTGTTCCCCAGTGACTGATGCTCGCTTAGGTCCTCCATATCAATGTCGTCATGATTCACTGCCAAATCAGACCTGGAAGGTCGCACATCGGAGCTTCGGGTACTATTGAAAGCTGTGCGGAATACCACAGTATGTTTAGGAACCTGTGGCCCGCTTGTATGCCTATGATCGAGCTCATCACCGAAAGTCTCCTTGACTATCGTTGTGCCTGGTGGTGGGGAGATTTCTGCGGTGGCGTCGTCGTAAACTTCCACTGTAATTGTACGTGCTGTGACCAAGTCCGTCCTGATAGACGCACGGCAGCCCTGGGGGAGTTGCTTCACAATGTATAAGCGGATGTCTTCGTCTGACACTTGATGTTGATCTCCCGGGGGAAGCGAGAGGTACGGGACTTCATCGGGATCGATTGTACTTGCAGGTCTTCGTACAGCATCGAAAACCTCTTCATCATTTCCAGGCGATATGAATGACGACCGATTCATACTATCGTGTGGTTGATCATAAGAGATAGTCGCCATTTCTAGTTGGTGTGAACCGACAACATCTGCCCTCAGCCCATTATCCAATATAACAACATCCCAGACTGTTTCCTCTCCATTGTTTGCGCGGAGGTGTCTTCGCGTATTTGTCCTTCCCCAGCGTTGCAGGAGTGCAAACCCAACACAGCCAACAAGGAGATCGCCCACACCAATCTTGTCAGTACCAAGGTCGGTATGCGGACTCCTGAATTCCCTCCTAATGAGGGTAATGATGGCAGCAATCGCCCTCGACGACTCCGTAGAGCCAAGGATAGCGTCGAGGGTAGACAAAAGAGATTGAGACATGTTAACAGCAGAAGAGAGTGTGGTAGAGGAAAGATGGAATGAAGCAGCTGCAAAGAATGACGCAGACGTGACTGTCTTGTGCAAAGTGGCCAACTAAGTCCTCTGTTAGCCTTAGAAAGATGCAGGATTAGTATTCGGACGAAAACTCACGCTTCGTTCTAATAGCGACTCTGCTTCTGCCTTGCCATGCTCTCCGCTGGTCCTGATGGCGACATCACGTCCAGCTCGAGTCAGTATGCCTTCGATCATGGCTCTACTGAGTTCAAGCCCAGTTAACGTTGTCGCTTTCGCACTATCAAGCGCAAGACCTCCGACAAACGTTCCCAGGCGAAGGGAGAGGGAAGTCGACTGCGTCATGAACGACACCATGGATGCCAGGGGACGAGGAAGGAGAGGTAAGCCCGACGTGGCAGGAACATGAGCGGCACCATTGTCACGGAGGACATCTACTTGCGTTTGTTCTTCGACATCCTGCTTCTTCGCCCTCCCGAAACCAAAGAATCTAGACATCTCGGGGCCTCAAGTATTGGTTGAGACTGTCTTGGTTTCCATTAGGCGGATGTTGTGCAGCCATGAGGCACTGGTCTCAAGTCAGAGACATGAACAGCGGTGCAGGTACAGATTCGAAGAATACTGGCCGATAAGAGGTGCCTGACCAGATCAGCGGTTGAACGTAGCAGTCAAAGACTGGTTCCTGCAGTGGTTGACCGGCAGACAGAAATGTAGATCAGTAGCCGGTGGCGACGAATAAGCAATCACTCATTAGGGGCTGCGGTTGAGAGCCGGCATGTGATTTTGCGGGATCGCCCCAACAAAACTTGGGTCGTCGGCTTCATCTTCGGGCAGAATCCACCCCTACGCGACTAACTTATGACGGACACTGGTAGTGTTCCTTCCCCCTCTGTGGGGAGAACGCGACGCGAATCCATTATTCCGAAGCAAGTATACAAGTATCAAGATTTGGTGCTACCCCACAGGCTCCAGTTTTCCCCTCATTCCTTCCCCAAACTCCGTCATCTGATCTTTCCCTCAATTGGGCATCTTCACGTTGCCGGCCAATAATATGTTACATGTCACAACATTGCCTTCCCATCTCCAGGGTACACAACTTTCCTGATCTTGTCGCGGGTACACTCGGCCACGGTACATATCCCTGACAGACTCATGGTCTGCCAGAGATCCGCCAGAAGCCCCTTCATCACGGCTTCGGCCCCGTTCTTTCCATCGATTGCCAACCCATAGATCACCGGCCTGCCAACCAAGACAGCATCCGCTCCCAGACAAAGCGCTTTGATGATATCTGCTCCAGTGCGAACCCCTGAATCAAAAAGAATTGTCATCTTGCCACCAACAGCATCAACTATCTCGGGGAGAACTTCCAGTGAGCCGATCGCACCATCAACCTGTCGACCTGTATACATGTCAATAGAAAGAATCTTCGCTGCAGAGCGACTGCCACATACCTCCATGGTTTGAAACAACGATACCGTCACATCCCGCCTCAAGGGCGAGCTTCGCATCATCCACATGCTGAATGC